ACCACTGTCCTGCCATCCATCTTTGGGCCCAAACATCATTAAGTAGCATGTGACTACATTCATGTTTTTGTGCAACCCCTCTCCAGAACTTTTTCATACCCATTAAATGTTAACTCCCCCTTCTTCTTCCCCTAGTCCCTGGAAACTACCATGCTACTTTTGTTGTGTCAATGAATGTAACTCCTCTAGATACCTGATATAAGTAATTCAGTATTTGTCTTTTTGTGACTGACTTGTTCTCCAGGTTCATCCATGCTGTAGCATGTGTCAGAATTGCCTTCCTTTTGAAGGCTGACCAATATCCCATTGTATATACCACATTTTGGGCTTGGCCTTCCAGCTCCTGCTGCCTCTCAGAGGTCCTGCAATAGTTTTTCTGAAGGATTTTTCTCTTATTTAGTTGCCTGAAACCCGCCAGCTCCTGTGGTTAAGACGCTTTGCTCATGGAACAGCAGGTCTAGTGTTTCTCACAGCTCTCTCAGGTATGACTCTTCTTGTCAAAGGTGGCCTGTTCTGTTCCACTGTATGGTGGGGTCTCTTCCCTAATGCTTTGCAACTTCCTTCTGCCTCTTCCTATTTCCCTTTCACACCTGTCTCTCATTCCCACCATCTTCACCATGTTTTCTAGTCCTTTCTCCCTTCCAAAAAATCCCACTTTCCTGGCAGTTGAACAGGACTGTTGAACATCTGCCTACGTCCAAACTGCCTACGTTCAAATCCTGGCTTCCCCACCTCTGAATTGTACGACCTTGGTGAGCTGTGTAACTCGCTGAGCCTCAGTGACCTCACCTGTAACGTGCTGATGATGACAGTGGTATGAGTAATACATGTGATGTATTTACAGCAGTACCTGGAACATAGCAAAGGCTACATAAGCATTAGCTGTTATTATTACGTAAACATTATTGTTAATATTACACCAAGATGGGTCCGATGAAAGTCCTACCTTCAAAGCTGGTCAGATAGGGAGTTGACTGGGGCAGAGACCAGCACAGGTTTTTCCTCACATGTAAACCACACCCCCACCTGTGCCTGTCTAGAACTGCACTATCCAGTAGCAGAATCAGTCACTTCATGGATTAAATTAAGATGAAATGGAAGTGTTAGTTCTTCAGTCACGCTAGCTCATTCCGAGAGCTCCTTTCTATTACCACAGAAAGTTCTGTTGGCCAGCACTGCTCAAAGTAAAAATAATACTGATTCGAACCAGTGGTTTTAAGTTTTTTTTGTTTTTTTTTTTTTTTATTTCTTTGTTCTTTCAATAAATATTTATTGAGCACTTGGGGAAGTCAGATAGTTTCAGATGGTATTCAGTGCTGTGAAGAAGCGGCAGGATAAGGGGGTGGAGAGAGACGGGGAAGGGGAGAATCGTTTTCTGTGGGATCATCTGGCGAGATCCCCACAGGTGACACTGAGAGGAGACCCAGAGAAGTGAGGGAGTGAATCGTGTAGCCATCTGGGGAAAGAACATTTCTAAAACAGATCAGTGGTAATCAGGGGGGATGACTCCGAGTCATTAGGGGAATTTTACCAAATGTGCCTCCTCCAAGCACCAGCGGAGGCTGCCAGAGTCTAAGGGTGGGGACAGGTGTTGGTGCAGTTTTTCTTTTTTATAAAAGTTCCCAAAGTGATTGTGATGTATATTTCTGTGTTCGAAAAGTCCTATTGTAGATGTTTTATTATTCTCTATTCTTTGTCTAACTCTGGGATAATGGGCTTTTCTATGTCAGAACTAGGATGCGGTCTCTTCCTCTCACTTTAATAAATTTCTCTTTACTTTGGAACACAGGAGCTTTTGTGGCAGGGCTGGATGCTGGGCTTGTTTACAACTCCTTCCCCAAAATGGGAGACTCCTGGATCCCAGAGGACCTCTTCACCTTCTCCCCGGTGCTGAGGAATGTCTTTGAGAATCCCACCATGGTGCAGTTTGACCACCGGATTCTGGTAAGCACAGCTGGCGGCTTCCTGCTGCTGTATACGGCGCCTTGCTCAGGCCATGGGATGTCAGTGGAGCAGGACCAGAAATGCCAGGACCAGTTGTCTGATCTGATGTTTCTGGCCTCATTATTCCACTTGTTTCAAGCAAATCCTAGCTTTCGGGACATTTCCAGCTTCTTAATGTTCGAATGTGGCATTTACCACCTGGCAGGTGATGGCCTTCCTCAGTCCCACACACACAGAGAGTCATTTCAGCAGAAATGTGGTGAGAAGAGTGCGGTAACTGGCTGTCAGTGCTGAACTAGAACCCAGAGGAGCCAGGAGCTTTTCATTTTATTAATGCTAGTATGGTGGTATTCCAAAAACTTGGTGGAAAATGGAATTAAAAGATGTTTATTTGGTGCAAAAATATTTGCAATCCATGCATAGTTTTTTTCATAATATACATTTTCCATGAACTTTTTGAGGATCCCTCTATGCATGGATTTCAAAAATTTTTGAACCAAAGTAAACTCATCTTTTAATTCTATTTTCCATGAACTTTTTGAGGTATCCTTGTGTATAGTGAGCATCTGCTATGAGCCATGTTAAGACTGGCCTGGCAGCCTGGGCATGATGGATCGGAGCAGGACGATATCAGCACCCAGAGCTCAGAAGCACCAGTGCCAGGCAGAGATGCCAGGCAGAGCAGTGGGGGCAAGGCTGTGAAGAGGATGGGACCTGAGAAATGTTTTAAAGGAACAGACTTGCTAAGGTTGGTAATAAAGGTGAAGAAAGATCAGAGGGAACCAAAAGTTCCTTCCTGCCTCGTTTATAACACGACGGACACAAGTAGAACCGTCAGAGTGAGTGTTGGGCCAGAAGGGGGCTGGGGCTGGGGCCACTTACCCTATGTGGGCTTAGTCCCCACCTCCACACGATATGTGAATTTTTATATTGATTTATTTGAAAGGCAGAGTGATAGGGATGGAGAAAGAGAAAGAGAAAAAAAAAAGAAAGGAGGAGGAAGGGAGAGACTCTTTCATGCATTGGTTCACTCCCCAAATGGCCACAACAGCCAGATCTGGGCCAGAGCTAAGCCAGAAGCCAGGAACTCTGTCCTGGTCTTCACATAGGTGGATGAAGTTCCTGGCTCCTGGCTTCAGCCTGGCCCAGCCGTATCCCTTGTGGCCATTTGGGAAGTGAACTAGCAGATGGAAGATATCCACCTTTACCTTTCCCTCTTGGTAGGTCTGCCTTTCAGATAAATAAGTAAATATCTTAAAAAAAAAAAAAAAATTACTGAGAGGGAGTGTTAAGTGACAGAAGCAGAAACTTTGGTGGAGCCCTGGAGGACAACACCAACATTTAAGGGGAAGCTGAAGAGGCCCCTGGAATGGACTGCGGGAAGTGCAGGCTGGGACAGGAGTGGACTTGATGGCTGCTTGGTGGTTCCAGAGGAGAAGCCCTGTAAGGTAGGTTCCTGGCAGGTGAGTGCAGAGCTGGCACTGTGAAGTCTTTCCTCCCCACAGGGAATCACTTCAGTCACTGCCATCACCGCGCTCTACTTTCTCTCCCGGAGAATGCCCCTTCCCCGAAGGACCCGGATGGCAGCAGTGACACTGCTGGCGTTGGCATATACACAGGTATAAACCACCTCTCTGGTCTGATGGTATCTCTGAAAGGTAAAAAGGAGAGGTGGCGTAATAGGAGAAACTATGTTCAATATTTAAAACAGACTAAAAGGTTAATAACCAAAAAATAAGTAAGGAATATCAAAACACCATTCTCAGAAGAAGAATCAGAATGGCCAGTAAACATGAAAAGCTGTTTGGTCTCTCTCCTAATCAGGAGTAAATTAAAGCAATGACTACCATTTTGTGGCAAATTGGAAATAAATGAAAAAAAAGGAGATAATCAGGTATTGGAATGGGTACAGGAAAATAGTTATCTTTTTTTTTTTATTTTTTATTTGACACATAGAGTTAGACTGTGAGAAAGAGACAGAGAGAAAGGTCTTCCTTCTGTTGGTTCACCCCCACCCCTGCAAATGGCCGCTACGGCCGGCGCGTTGTGCCAGTCCAAAGCCAGGAGCCAGGTGCTTCCTCCTGGTCTCCCATGCGGGTGCAGGGCCCAAGTACTTGGGCCATCCTCCACTGCCTTCCCGGGCTACAGCAGAGAGCTGGACTGGAAGAGGAGCAACCAAGACTAGAACCCGGCGCCCATATGGGATGCCGGTGCCGCAGGCGGAGGATTAACCAAGTGAGCCACAGTGCTGGCCCCCGAAAATAGTTATCTTAAAATATTTCTGGTGAGAGCATGAGTTGGCAAAGCTTTTTCAGAGGACAATTTGGCAATTTCTTTTAAACACTAAACATACAATCCTGTGGTCCAGTATGTTATTAGTGTCTGCTCTAGAAACACACACTGATGTGTAAAGAGTCTTGTGTAAGGAAATTCACTGTAGAATTGCTGTGATAGGAAAATGGAAAACATCGTGTTTAACTAAACAATGATAATACATGCCTACTGTGCCACTAAAATAGTATCTTAAGATTTATTAAGTGAAAAACAAAAGCATTAGCCTATTTTTTAAAACACAAAACTTTGTCAACAATTACACTAAAGTAGGAATGAGCAGAAACTGGTCACAGTAACTATTTTTGGGGAACTGAGGCGAAGAATTACTATGGGGAATTTTAAGGTTTCTCTATCTTGTTTGAATTCCCTTCGTTTTAAGTACACTTGTGAATGAAGTTGTATTTTTTTAATGTGTTGATGGGAGCAGGTGGAGGCCCACACCCTGTCATGATCCATCTGGACCTGTGGTTACTACTTTTCCTTTGCTTTCTCCCCTAACAGGTGGGCTTGGGCATCAGCACTCTGCTGATGTATGTGCCGACTCCATTGGCTGCCACTCACCAGTCAGGTTCCTTGGCTCTGCTCAGCGGAGCCCTTTGGCTCATGCACGAACTCCGAAGAGTCCCAAAGTAATTCACAGAGGATCAGCGTCCTAGGACCAAAACTGACAGGCGTCTTTCATCCACTGCATCACTCCCCAAATGCCAACAACAGGCAGGGCTGGGGCAGGCTAAAGTCAGAACCCAGAACTCAATCCATGTGGGTGGCAGGAACCTTGAGACATCACCTGCTGTACTTGAGACATCACTTGCTGCCTTGTAGGATGCAGATCAGCAGGAAGCTGGACTGGAAGTGGGGTAGCAGGACTTGAACCAGGCACTCTGATGATGGGACGTGGGCATCCCAGGTAGCAACCAAACCACTACACCACATGCCCATGCCAAAACTTTATTTTTTAAATCAGTGATTTGGATGTCAGATTTGAAGATGGAAAAGTCCAGCATCGCTAATATAATAGATGACAGAGGCAACTCAAAACAGCTCCAGAGTGCTCTTTGGCTCATGATTCATTTCCTAGGACTGAAACTGCTTTTGAGAGCTCACCAGAAAGCACAAGGACTTGAAATTAAACAGATTATATGGATTCAGTGTAGTCATTTGAATAAAGTAATTTATAGAAGTTTGGGTGAAGAGACTTGGCTTTCTATCATTCCATATAAAAAAGACTTGGGGATTCCAGTGACCTTGGGCCCATATTTCAAAACACTGAGAGAAATCAGTGATGTTTCAGGTGTTACCAGAAGTGTCACAGCCACAGCCATTTCACTCTGGGTACCAGATTGAAGCAGGACATTGACCAATAGGTGTGTCTGCAGAGGAAGATGGTGAGGAGTTTAGAACCACTGTCACATAAGGAACAGCCACAGGAATTAGGGATGTTTCACTGGATTGATGTCCTGGAGACAGAAGCCCTCATGCAGAAGAGGGAGTGAATTTACTTTGTACTGCAGCGCTGGGAGCCATAGGTCAAAGTTGCTAGAAAGTAGCTTTTCTATCTAGAAGGCATGAGTAGGATGGACCAAATCAAGTGCCCACTGGGGTCAGGCTGGTGAAGACAGTGGCTGGGGAGCAAGTGCCCCACCCAGTGCAGGGGCTAAGCCACCACGAGCTCATTCTGTTGCTGCTCTGCAGGTCCAGGGTCGTCAGATTTGGCTTTTTAAAGAAGCCAGATACCTGGAATTTTAGGAGAAAGCTCGCGGTTTAGTGTGGGCAACTAATGTCAAGCTTTTACAAATATTAGGCAGTCTTAATGGGTCTGGGAACCGAGAATGATACATGGTTTGCCAATTCACAATCTGCACTAGATGATCTCAGTTCCTTTTCATTTCCAAAATTCTGTTTCAGTGCACCTACAGTATACTGTTTTCCAGTGGTTCTTAGCAACACAAAAACAGTTTGTCTCAAATTTTTAAAAAATTCCTGGACCCGGCCGGCACCGCAGCTCACTAGGCTAATCCTCCGCCTGCGGCGCCGGCACACCGGGTTCTAGTCCTGGTCGGGGCGCCAGATTCTGTCCTGGCTGCCCCTCTTCCAGTTCAGCTCTCTGCTGTGGCCCAGGAGTGCAGTGGAGGATGGCCCAGGTCCTTGGGCCCTGCACCTGCATGGGAGACCAGGAGAAGCACCTGGCTCCTGCCTTCAGATCAGCACGGTGTGCCGGCCGCGACGTGCCAGCTGCGGTGGCCATTGGAGGGTGAACCAATGGCAAAAAGGAAGACCTTTCTCTCTGTCTCTCTCTCTCCCACTGTCCACTCTGCCTGTCAAAAAAAAAAAAAAAAAAAATTCCTGGACCCTGGTAGGTTTAAGCTTTTGCCTAAAGGAGGTCCCCAACTTCTCTAGAAACCTTTTAAAAGTCTCTAAACCTAACCCTCGTGAAGACCAATTAATTGGCAATCTCTGGGTGCAATAGGCACTTTTTAAAGTTCATTTGAGGACCAACCAATGACCCAGCTTCCCAATAGCCTAGTGAGCTTAGAGTTCTGGCCAGCTTATTCCCATTGCTAGCCCACCCACCCTAGCTGCTGCTGATCTGCTGTGCCGCATTCTGTCTTGTAGGTAGGAAACATTCTTTAAAGAAAGGGAAATCTCCCCACCTGCCCCCCCCATCACCTCCTGCTCCCCAAACCCAGGCTGTCCTGAGTAAAAACCCTCAGCAGAGGGCAGCACCACCCCAGCCAGAGACCCACATGCTACTGCAGTTCCTCCAAGAAATGGCAGCTCATCAATTCCAAGTTTCAGACGTTTTACTTCATTTTTCTTTTATTACAGATGATGACTAAGTTTAGAAAAGCATCTGGTTGCATTTAGCTATGTAAATGCATTGTGCTATCCATGAGCTCCTGGTGAATGGAGATTATCTTAATTATGTATGTTATGCCCAGCACCACCAGACACATCCCAGATACTGAATCAATGAATGTATGAATTAGTATTAAAAAAAATTACAGACTGATTTCCCAAACAAGCTCCTTCAAAAGAATTATCACATACCTATAAAATTAAATAAATGCTCCTTAATATTTCTGAAAATTTCTCAACAATTCTGTCAACTGTTTTTAAAACATGAAGGAAATCAGAATGTTTTTTCAGTAGATCTAGAATTTTTTGCCTTTAAATTACACTGACAAATGTCCCCATGACACAGGTAACAATTAGCAACTTCCAGTTAGGTTGGAAGTGATACACCGACACTGATGATTGCCACTTTAGGATAATCGGTTTATCTGCAGCTATCCTGGTCCCTGGGACTAATAGGTTATATACTGGCATGGGTAACGCACATACCTTGTCCCTGCCTAAGAGAGACTGCATCATCTCAGGCATTGCACATTTTCCTGAATGCTGACTTAAATGTGCACCAGGGAGAATTTCAACAACTCAGCAATATTTATTCTTACTTAAATGTGAAACATTAGAAAAACAATTTTCACAGCCCCCAGAAGCAATGCAGTTCAGGCGGCCTTTGGTCTCTTCAAGTGTGGAGTGTTTAGTTGTGGATTACAATAGAAAGGCCCTTCGACATAGTGCAGAGGCCACAGCTCAAGGTAGAAATAGCGGAGGAGATGCAGGCAAATTACAGAATAAGAATTCCAAACGCAACATAATCACAGAAGTACTAGAGCCAAGTATTGATCTGTGATGCCTGCTTGCAAAGAAGGACTTAGAGACCTACTGGGGCAGGGCCTTCCTTGCCAGCGGGCCAGACGTGGGCAGGTGCTCTGCAGAAGGGGCCACTTAGGAAAGTAGTAGGGCTGCCTTAGAATGGAAAGGGAGAGGTGGCAGGTCACGAGGGTATGCCAGGGGCTGCTCCACTTAAAGGGAGAGGCAGCCATGTCTTCAGATCAGTCTGCCTCACACTGTCCACGCGTGGCTATGAACAGCCTATGATTCACAACAGTTTCCAACTTTGGTCTTTATACAAATGGCAAGCAACGATTGATTATATTCTAAAACTAAAGGCCTGTCTAGTATGAGGAATCAATCTTACACTTACAGGGGTCTCTTTATTGCCCAGGTTTCTAGAGAAAATGATCAACAGGTAAATTATCCCTTCCCTGTTTCTCAAACAATGATATTGACAAAGTGGGAAATAATGACCTGATCGGGCGAAGGAAAATACATAGTAATATATGGGAATTCTGTCGACATTTAGAAAAGAGAAAGAGAAGACAGCCTTAAAAGTGGAGATTTAATGAGCCACCTGCAGAAGGTTGACAGGACACCCAAACAGCATACTACACCTCTTCAGCGTAGATCTCAGATCCATGGCATGAGAAAGCCAAGAACAGAGCCAGCAGGAATACAGAACACTACCTAAAAGTATGCAATTTCAGGTGTAGTCACTGTTGGCAAAAATGGTTGCTATTCTATGTGCTTAATCAAAAGAGCCACCACTTGGTGGTTTTGAGTTCTTATCTTTTAACAGTGGTCTTTTTTGCAATACCAACAAAATTCTCACAAGTGTTTCAATAGCATACAGTCCCAATGGTCAGATTGTGCCTTAATTTTTAATCCCAGTTGAAATCAAGTTATACTACATACCACAGCAAAAAGGGAACTTTGATACTAGTTCTGAATTACTTTGAGAAGACTAAAAACAGCACAAAGAAACAGTACTTTGTTTCTCTCAGGGACTCTATATCAAGAATATAACCAAGTTCTTTAATGAGGTAGATTTAGTTGGTATTTTTCCCTTCATTTGGATTTTACCCTTCATGTAAACTGCTTGGATGTTATGGCAAGCAAAATTTACAGGGGCCGGTGCTGTGGTGTAGTGGGTAAAGCCGCTGCCAGCAGTGCCAGCATCCCATAAGGGCGCTGATTCAGGTCTCAGCTGCTCCACTTCCGATCCAGCTATCTGCTACAGCCTGAGAAAGCAGTAGAAGATGGCCTAAGTCCTTGGGCCCCTGCACCTGCATGGGAGACCAGGAAGAAGCTCCTGGCTCCTGGCTTCGGATCGGTGCAGCTCCGGCCCTTGTGGCCAATTGGGAAGTGAATCAGCAGATGGAAGACCTATCTCTCTGCCTCTCCTCTCTCTCTGTAACTTCGACTTTCAAATAAATAAATAAATATTTATAAAAAGAAAATTTACAAAATTAAGTAAAAGAGACATCTAAAAATATAAAAGCACTACAGAAACTAGTGACAACTTGGTACTTTTTAAAAAAGATTTATTTATTTATTTGAAAGCAGAGTTACAGAGTGAGGGGGGGAGACACAGAGAGACAGATCTTCCATCCCTCTGGTTTACTCCCCAGATGGCCACAGTAGCCAAGGCTGGGCCAGGCTGAAGCCAGAAGTGATTGCTATGGAAGTGTCATTCCTATCAACCATATCATTAGAAGCTATGGAAAAATAGGTGGCTTGGGGCAAGTGTTTTTGGACCACATTTAAGATGCCAATTGGGATAACACATCTCGTATCTGAGTGTCCAGATTTGAATCCCAGCTCTACTTCCAGTTCTAGCTTCATGCTAATGCACATCCTGGGAGGCAGATGACAACGGCTTCAAGTATTTGTGTCCCTGCCACCCACATGGGAGGCCCAGACTGAGTTCCAAAGCTCCTGGCAGCCCCAGCTGTTGTGGGCATTTGGAGAATGAATCAGTAGATGGAAGATCTCTCCTCTGTCTGCCTTTCTTTCAAATAAAAATTAAATAACAACCTTAAAAAATAGGAGGTTCTTTTGGGCAGCCTGGTCTTCTAAACCAAAAGCCCAAATCCTTTTCCCAAAACTGTTTGACTTCTTATTTATTTATTTATATATATTTTTTTACCTTCTTTTTTTTAAACTTTTATTTAATGAATATAAATTTCCAAAGTACAGCTTATGGATTACAATGGCTCCCCCGCGCCCCCCCCCCCCATATATATTATTTATTTGAAAGGCAGAGTTACAGAGAGGCAGAGGCACGGGGCACGGGGTGTCTTCCATCTACTGGTTCACTCCCCAAATGGCTGCAACGGCCAGAGCTGGGACCATCTGAAACCAGAGGGCAGGAGCGTCTTCCAGGTCTCCCACGCAGGTGCCAGGGCCGAAGCACGTGGGCCATCCCTCCACTGCTTTCCCAGGCCATAGCAGAGAGCTGGATCAGAAGTGGAGCAGCCAGGACTTGAACCAGCA